GTGCGTTCAAGCCAACACCGCTGATTTCATTCGCTGGGGCAAACATCAGAGTAGCAGTAACGCATCCAGCGCTCAGTGCGAAAAGCACGCGATGCGACGAAGTTGTCGTATACGATACAGATGCGCACATTCCACCTGCGACCCGCGCCGAATGCGGCCGGCCGGTGCTCTTGCATCAGCGCCCAGTGCTGCGCTCCGTACGGGATCGGCCAACACAGCTGCTGACACCGCGGGGTCGGACGTGCAGGTCCACCGCCACAGCTTGCGGCCCAGGTGCGCAGCGAGGCCGAGGGACGTTCTTTGTTTGGGCTGAGCGGCGAGATGACCCCCTCCCCGACCGGGGGGCGGGGGGGGGGGGGGCGGCGGCCCGCGGAACAAAGAGCGGGCAGCGTCACTGACGGCAGCTGCCTGCGTTTTTCGGCCAGCTTGTTCTTGTTTGCGTATTGATTCGACCGTAGCGCCGTCCTGCAGGCCGCGCTCACTGGGCGTCGCCAGGGAAAACAGCGCCGGTCCGAGTCCGCCCCGCCGCCGCCCACTGCGGCGTAGAAGCCGGCCGGGCGGCCGCTGCCCTCTGAACCGCGCCGAACCCGTCCAGAGCCGGGGCGGGGGGCGGAGGCCTCGCTCAGGCCGGCGGGCCGGCTCTGTCGCGGGCTCGGGTCGCCGTCGGGCCGGGCGCGGCCGCCGGGTGACCGGTCAGCCGGCGACCGGCCTGCGCCGCTGACGCAAGCGTGACTCGGCAGTTCGCGCGCCAGCTCGCCGGGGCCCGGGCCGATTGCACCACGTGGCCGCTGGTGACGTCGTTGGTCGACAGCCGACGGCCGACGGCCGCCGCCAGGTGCCGCCCGGGTCAATGCACCAACTGCGGAGTTGCCCGTGTCATGGGCCGGCGCAGCGGCCGCCCGGAGGTCGCCCAACCTTCGCGGAACGGCGGCCAGCGTCGGCCACCGCGGCGTGCGCGCCTCCTCTTACATAATGAGGCCGACGGGGGCGGGCCGGCGTCGGGTGGGCGGGTTCGCGGCCGGGTCCGGCGGCAGCTGCGCCGCGCCGGCTACGTGACGTGGCGCAACGCTGACGTCCCGACGGGCGTGACGTCACGACAGGCGGTGACGCGCCGGGAAAGCACCGCGGGGGTGCCGGTGGCGTTGCCACGTGGACGGCGCCGACGTCCCGCTGACGGCCACGGCGTGTGCCTAATCTCGAACGACGCGCCGCCGGCCGGGATCGGCAGGCGGTGGCCGCTGCCGCTCGGCCGGCAGCACGTGGCCGGCTCGGGCATGGCTCGGGCCGGCACGGCGGCCGGACGACGACCGTTGTCAAACTGGCCGGCCGGCGCCGCGGGCGCCCGGCCGGACCGGCTCGAGCTGCTGCCGGGCCAGGTGTCGACGTCTGGAGTTCGCCCGGCAGCTGCCCCTCCCCCTCCCTCTCCCCCTCCCCTGCCCGTCACCGGCAGCTGCCCCCTCCCCCGCCCGCCACTCGTGTCCAGCACGGCCAGCCGCACCCTGTCTTTGTCTGGCGTCTGGTCCGGCCGGTTGGCCCGTGCGCGCAGGGCACGGGACCGGCCACGTCATACGCATTGCTCACCCTGTCTTCTGTCTTACTCGGCTGTCAGCCGACAGCCGTGAGCTGCTGTCTCGTGGGCCGGTGCGGCCGGTTTCTACGAAGGGGGCGTGCCGCTCGGAGCCGGCGCTCTGCATCGCCACGCCCCGCTGGCTCGCCATCGCCACGCCCTGCCGTCGCTGACGCGGCCGGGGTCGAGCCGCTTTGGAAAGCGTGGCCTCGCGGGAGGCGCCGCGACCGGGCCGGCGCGGCCTCGTCAGGAGTCCACTTACTCCAGCGGGGCATGGCGTGATACGGAGGCGGGGAGGCGCGCTGCTCCAGCCGGCACGGACGGGCGATAAGGCGCCGCCCCCTGTTCGGTGCACCTGGTGGGCTGGCGCCAGCCCTCTCGGGGTCTGCGCAGCCGGGCGGGTGGGCGGCCCCCAGCCGTGGCGGCCTCGGGACCGTGATTCAGCGGTGCCCGTGGCGCGGAAATGCCTGCCGCACGCGAGCGGCGGCGGCCGGCCGCGCCGCCCGGCCGGAAGGCTCCCGGCCGGCACGCCCTTGAGAGCGCCTGTTGCCCTCGCCCGGCCGATAACCTGGCCGGCCGCTTCAAGGCCCCACGCGCGGCTGCAGCCAGGATGGGCGGCGGCGGTGGCAGTCGCGGCGGCAGCGGCAGCGGTGACCCAGACGGCCGCCACAGCCTCTCCGCTGCTCTCCTTTCGCCGACGCGCGGCGGCGGGTTTGAAAGTGGTACGCGCGCGCGCGCGCTGCGTAGCCCGGCGCCGTAACCGGCCGTCGGTGTCGTAACGCCCAGCCGGGATGTCCGGCGCGCTCCGGGAAAGCGCGGCGAGCTGCGGTGTGACGCAGCGTGGCCCCGCCGCCCGCCCGTTACCCGGCGCTGGGCGTCGCCGTTAGGGCGAAGCCGGCGCGCGCGGCCGTCCGCCAACGGTCCGCGCTGGCCCAGCGCCGGCCCTAACCTGGATCGACTGCAGCGGCGTCGGGCGCGGCCGCGCGCCGCGCTGCGCCGCTCCAGATTGCCGGCCGGTTTTTGCCGGCGAGCTGCGGCGTTTTTGTGCCGTCGTGTCCGGTGGGGTCAGCGCGGGTTCCCCCACGCCCCAGCCCCAGCGGGTGCCTGGGCTTGGGGCGGGGGGGGGGGAGGGGGCGCAGTCCTGGCCCGGGTGGGAGACGCCCCGGCTGCGGCTTCTCAGTCAAGGTTGCGGCTGGTGACGGTGCTTCCCGCGGATTCCACTGGCGCTGGGGTCAGCTGCAGGCAGATGCTTACGCTTTGTTCGGATGGAGCACGTGCTGGATGTTCGGACGGAGCACGTGCTGGATGTTCAGACGGAGCACGCAGTGGATGTTCAGACGGATGGCACGTCAGGTTCATACGTCTGAGGAGAACACTGAGTATTTGAGGATGTGCCCGCTGGTTCCCGTGACTTCCAGTTGATTGCGACTTGCAGAGGTAAGAAGTTGGTGCATGCGACTGGATGGTCATTAATCACGCGACAAGGACAGATATTATCCTGCTCGCCAAGACGAACAATGTGTTGGCAGAACACACTTGGTCTGCTGGCATGGGGGCTTGTAAACCCTGAACACACTGTTCCCGGGATTGGGGAATGAGAATGGTTGATCACATGCGCGCACTTCGGGAGTCGGTTGACCGGGAGCCGAACCGGACTGAAACCGTGGGTGGACAGCGGCCCGCCTGCGTCTGGTCACGGCGCCAGACGGTTGTCCTGGCCCGGCCCGGGCGGCTGGTTCCGCCCTCAGCCATGTGGCGCGTGGCCGGCTGGCGGCAGCGCGACACGCCCCTCTCGGCGGCGCCGGGGAGCGCCGGCGACCGTCAGCGGGCGGGCCGGCCGGTGCGGGGCCGCTGCCGCACCTGCCGGCGGCCTCCGCCGGCCACCTGGCGCCCGCCGCGCGCCGCCCGCCGTCCGCCGTCCGCCGCAAGCCGCCAGCACCTGCCTACCCGCCAGCTGCCCGCTGCGCCCCGCCGCGCCGCGCCGCGCCCCGCCCCGCCCCACCTCGCCTCGCCCCGCCCCTGCTCCGGCCGGCCAGAGCCCACGCGCCCGCGGGCGGCGCGGCGGCCGCGGTCAACGTCCGCGACCGCGGCCGGTCGATGGCGCGCGGCCGGGTCACACGTGTCGCCGGAGTCGGCCGCGTACGGGGCCGGGTCACACGTGCCGCCGCGGTCGGCCGCGTACGGGCCTGGGTCGGACTCCTGTCCCGCGGCGTCTGGCGCCGGTCGATCGGGGCTCGGAGGCGACGCGACGCCGACCCCTGCAGCCGTCGATCAATGACGGCTGTCGGCTAAGCATGTTTGCTCCGCGGCCAGGTATCATCGGACCAGGTATCATCTGGCTGCAGCCGACATGATCCGGACGAGCTGCTATGTCTCGTTACTACGTCTCGGCGAGCGGCGATCTAGCGACCGAACCGCGCGCTTCGCTGGCGGCAGCTGTTCGGCCTTGTCAAAGATTGTCATGCGGCACGCGCGGCGGGCGCTGACCCGTGATTTATGGTGTAGGCCTGGGCGTCACATCAGATAGCCTCTCCGCCGCCCGCCACCAAGCCGCGGCTGTCGGAAGGTCGAGCTGGTTCGGATGAGGCTGGTTTCAGGGTCGCTGGACTTGGGTGCGCACCACGGCTGTGAACCGTATTTATTCAGATTGTAACGCATTAAACTAATGGGGTCATTAACTCACTGCAATGTCTGAACTCAAACTTAGACACATCGAGATAATGTAGTGACTCTCGACTGCACGTCCATGTTTTTATAGCCCAAATCGGCGGAAACATTGACCGCTGCTGAAATTGTGAACCACCGGTAAACTGCATTGGCATGTTTTTTGTTCTCCATAGCCCGAGCCGCACATTATCGTTGTGTTCAGTTTTGTTGAGCTACCCGTATTTTGCTGCGACCCGAAAGTAATATTGGCGTCATGTGACCGACATTAACTGGCATACCGACGCGTCCATTCGTGCCGAGCCCGAATGTGTCGCTCGATGCCGCCTTGTGCGGTGCATCGCGTGTATTGGTGATAATGGTGGTGAAATTCCTCTTAATGAAGGTACATAATGCAAACAGACTGTCGGTTCCTGAACACCCATGACGCGTTCCCTTGCGCGCGCGCGCGCATGTGCGTGTGTGTGCGCTCGCGCGTGTGTGTGTGTGCACGTACGTGCGTGCATGCGTGCGTGCGTGCGTGCGTGCGTGTGTGCGTGCGTGGGACACGGAGCGGTTCTGGGAAACAGACCTCACCCTGGATCACAGGTCACGTCCCCCGGGGGCAATCGAATGACCTCGGCGTACCATGCCGGGGCTGTCCTGGTCTTACCCACACCTAGCCTGGGCCGGACCTGACCTAAGGCACGCCCTGAGACCCCTGAGGCAGTCTTGCCTGCAGTGGGAGCTGCTCCGCCCGCCCGCGCTCACGGTCGGCGTTCTTTTGCAGGCGAGAAGCCGTTCGCCTGCCACTGGAAGGGCTGCGTCAAGCGATTCGCCCGCTCCGACGAACTGGTGCGGCACACGCGCACACACACGGGCGAGAAGAATTTCCTCTGCTCCGTGTGCGACAAACGCTTCATGCGTAGCGACCATCTCACGTAAGTTAGCGCTCGGCGCCCTCCTGGTCGGCCGGCGCGGGTGCAATCAATACACTACCTGTTGCTGTCGGCGCCGGATGCTGCTCGCCGGGGAGCTGAGCTGCGCGCCGGTGCCGCTCGATCTGAACCTAGCCAATTCGCCGAACTGTCAGGCGCCTTCGGACGCCCTTGCGTGCGCCGCGCAGCAGTGCGCCTCTCGGCGCCCTCTCGCAACAGCGTTCTGACCTCGTTCCTCGTCCGCAGGAAACACATGCGGCGTCACCAGGAGCCGCACCTGCCGTCCGGCCGCTTGTCGAGCGCTGGCTCGCCGCAGACGGATGCTGCGCTTGACCTGCGGGTCATCAAGCCGCCGCACTCGATCACCTCGAGCGTCGCCACGCCCTCTGACGACCGGGGCTCAGAGACCGAGTCGGCGCCCTCCGTGCACGGCGTGTGATGATGGCGTCCATCTAGCGGACGCCGCTGTAAACTATCATTTTGCGCTTGCGCGTGAGATGTCGCGCCGCGCACTCTAGGATGCGTGCGGGGAGCGGAACGCGCTCGATTGCATTTGTTCCCGCAGCTGTGTTCCGCCTGTGTTTTACTGGTGTGTATCTTGATCTGCCCGTGGGCATTTCCAGGTGCTCTGGCACTGTTTGGTGCCGACTCATGTAACAGAACGGGCCATTGGAGGGCGTGTCAGCGCCGCTGTGTATTGGTGTATAGGCTAGTCGTGTGCTAGAGCGGCGCCGCCGAGTGTGCAGAGCGCCGCTCTGACACCATCATCCCATGTTCCATTGGTTTTAGAGGCGCGCTGCGCTGACCACGCCATTCTGGGTAAAATGGTGCTACCGGATAACAACGCAGACGCCCTGAGCTACTGTTGTAGTATTTTTAGTACAAAGACATCCTCACACTTGTCATCTCATTTAAATGACGCCAGCAGAGGCCTGCACGCGTACGGCGCATTGGTGACGAGCATTACCATATACATACCCTATATTTATGCTTCGATGAGATGTGTAATGTTGATTGGTAACCAAATACATGAGAACCTGTAAGTGTTTGTGTTGGAAGGCGCTGAAAGAGCGCGGACAGCTCGAACGGCTGTAAGAGCTTTAAGATATAGAAGAACTGCCTTTGTATGACGTGCAAAGCCACGAGATACATAAAAGCTGACACAAGGGTTGACGCGCGTGGCAACTGAATGACACTGCGTCTGGATGTCAGAATACTTTACCTTTAAGAGCTGTCGAACATGCGCAAACGTCAATGAACAATGCACGTTGGGCCCAGTCGTGCTGTCTTCGAGGACATTGGAGTTATTCCAAAGTTATGGAATACAATGTGCAGTCTCGATTGGTCGTATTATGCATGACGTCGCGTTCAACCAATCACCGATCAGCAACGGCAGTTGGGGGGCCGAGCCGCGTGGCGTTGATGCTGTCAGGACGCGGTGCTTGCAGTTTCCTACCAACTCCGTCATGAAGTAACCCAGCGGGCAACTTGCGCTCAGTCTTGGCCAATGAGACATTTTGCACGTCAGCTAAACTGTGGTTGGCAATATACGCAAAATATAAACTAATTACATCAGTTCAAAACCTCATTCGCACGGAAAACTTCGCTTTTAAATGTATTTGGTCCGTTACTACAACCTTCAAAGTGCATATTCTCCAAAAGAACGTTAAAACTGAGAACAGAGATCACGTGCTTTACACAAGCAAATCTCTGGCAGGAGCCAATTCAAATGGTATGCTTTCTCCTGAGTTTACCCGGTCGTAACGTGGCAATATCTAAGTACTGCCATGTTTGAGGTACCTGACTTCGGTACATCCGTCTCCCATAGAGTGATGATTACTCTGAAATATTACGCAGTAAACAGTAAATGTCTGGCAAAACTAAAGGTGGCGTGTGTCGGAACATCCCACAGCTTTCCGCCTAAATGACATGACTTTTTTACCAATGTCCATTCTAGAGTCGAAGATTGTAAACATCATAGCTGTTGCTCGTCAGTGCAATCATTGCTGAACCAAATTTTCCTATCGGGTACGGTTGCCTCTGCCGGATATTGTGCATGGAGCATATTACCGGCCGATTATTTTTACCATTGAAATACTATGTTGCTAATGGATTGCGCCCTTGGTCAAAGGTGGTGCGTGTAATATCAAGACTGCTTTTTTGCGGCAAACCCTTTTTGCGGCAAGATAACATACAATGGTGCATTATTCATTTCGAAGAAGTTCTGTAAATTTCACACGTCCTCATCGATTTGACGGAGGAATAGGCAATGGTGTCTCCAAAGCACCTCGCAACTCGCGCCAGTGTCGCGAAGTGCACGGAAAATAATCCTGACAGTTTGAAAGCGACCATCGCCTGAAAACCTTAAGTACATTGGCGGAAGTACGGAAGGATTCATCCCAGCAATTTCTGCGGGGACGATCCCGCATATATGTAGACTATTAAAGGCAAATTTATGAAAGCTGTTCAGGGAGATAGTTGTTAGGTATAGAAAGGTCACCAAGACACATAAGGTCGCATAACTGCAGGTAAACCACCAGAAAACCCAAATTCGCGGCCTTTCCCGCAAGCAAATGTCTAGCGCACAAGATATGGACGTAATTATGGACGACAGATCATATTTCGCGTGTTGCAGCGCCCAACAAAAAGCAGAGACACAATGTTTGGCAGCACGGGATGCTCGCGCACGTTGAATGAAGCGATGACGGAGACAAAGGAGATGTGGGGAAAACAGGTTTCCGCACCAGTCGCTGGTTTGGATGCCCCCCCCCCCCTCGCGGCACCACACGGCCAGTGATCACGCACAGCAGGAGCCAGTTACGTAACTGACGGTGCAACGTGGCAAGCGTATCGTCGGAAGAGAATACCGCTGCTATTCCTGCACACTTGCTGTTAAAACCACTAACGAGCGCGCTGGCAAGGTCTCGCGAGCGCACATTACGCAAGTGAGACCGTGGCTGGTAAGTTCATTGGCGTGCTCTCCCGATCCGTCTGCCTCGCATGGCCCCCTAATCATCTCTCTCGTGGCCTCCGTCGGCCCGGCCGACTGCCACGGGGTCCCCCGGGTCACAGAAGTGGATTGTTGTCCTAGGGCCGCGACTGCCGCCGTGGATTTACAATTGGACGGCTCGGAATGCGTCGCATTCTTTCACTACAGCCTAAAGGAGCCGGCCTACATGTTTTGTCGGGATCTGTGGCACGGAGAGCCGCTGGACCGTCGAGATTAAACGCTACATGACGTGGATCTTGACCGCCACGGCCGCGATGCGGTCTTTCGCGCTCGGCAGACAGGGTTGCACGTGGGGGTTTCCCACTATGTGGGGCTCACGAGCACGGTAGTAAAGAGTGAAAAACATGCAGAAATCGGCGGTCGCGTTAGAGAATGAGGGAAAGATGTGGAGCGGATGCTAGAACCGTTGATGGCAGACAGCCTGCAGTGCTGGCTAGTGGCTCTCGCTTGCTTTGTGCAGTGTTGCGTACATGGTAATCTTGCAGCACTGACGTGAACGGCGTTAGAAGGCGTTCCCTTAAGCGCTCTTCTCTCTCCCAGACTTCCCGGCGGTCCTGTGGATGCACTGGCATGATGATGCCTTCAGCACTTTCACAAAGGCCCGGAATAGGCTCCGGAGTAACGCGACCGGGTCATGTTAAGTTTATTGGCGTGCTCTCTTGGTGCGTCTGCCTCCCATGACCTCCTCACCAACTCTCTTGTGCCCTCGGTCGACTCAGCCCATGGTAACGGGGATCCCTGGGCCACAGAGGTGGACTCTGGCTCCAGATCATCACACTGGCGATGCTAGAGTTGGCCTCCATCACATCCGTCGTAAACGCGACATGCAACATCTCTGTGCCATCATCTTCATCCCACACAAAGCATCTAGGGGCTAATCGAGCAAATTTTGCAAAAAGAGAACTTATGAACTCGTTTGTATGACCAGCATTTGAACAGGATTATTGCTGAATAACCCGTTTTGAATGAATGTCATTCGTGCGATAGTTCTAGGCTGCCGCGCAAAATGGCGACGAAGGTTTTGCGTTCGTACGCCGGGTTAATAAACACGGGACCGAAGCCCTGAACCACTGTGTGCTTGTAACTGGACGAAAAATATGCATTGCGTGTTCTGACATTCGTTTTATGGCGTGTAATCATCGACCAAACAGTAAGCTTGAACTTTGTCCAAGAGCATTGCATCCCAAGGTAGTAGCGACACCTTTGTTCGTACGCGATGTAGCGCCACCTATCAACTGTTCTTAAATCTGCGGCTGAGATGGTGGTGCCGACAAAAGTACGAATGAGATAGTAGCATGACGATTGTTCGTGGCGTAAAACAGCTTTCGTAATATTCAGGAACTATATGCCATAGACTAATGTTCCTATTGTTAATGTTCCTCAGCTGAAATCGCCTCACGTTTGTCAGGATGGACGACTTAGAGTATAAAGTTCGTAGCCGCAGAAGTTCGTAATGACAAAAGTTCGTATTGGCAAAAGTGTATATGGATTAAGATGGTATGGTGAAATGTTCGTCAGTAAAAATTACGCAACGAAAGTGCTCGCGCATCAAAAGTTTGGCATGGAAAAAGTTCGTAAGCAATTCAAGGTGTTCAAATGTACGGTTGCAAGTGATAGCCAAAAGATAATGTTGCTTTTGTTTCACAAATCGACGTAAACAAAGGTTTGTTTTTCCATAAAGGCCGTAGATCCACAAAGTTTATGTGAACATGTCTGTGAGGAAGAAGTTTTTTGACGCTAGTACGCCCGCAATACTTCTTGTGCACACGTGTACGGAATGTTGAAATGCAGATTATAATTTTTGGTGTCAGCAGCCGGCTACATGGTCATTGCGGGGGCAACCACGTACCGCGAAATGGCGGGAGGAGGGAAGGGAAGGGGGGTGAGCGATGGCAATTGCATAAGTCAGGTCAAGCATCATGCTTTATCCAACTTACTATGACCTGAACTTTACGCCCTGGGACGACCAGCAAATTAATTCGAATCTATTGAGTTTGATGGGATATAGGACACTAGAGGATTACAATAAAAAGATCACTGCAGGCCAGCCATCGAGCCTGTTGTGCTCTCGAAATATCCTTCACCTTGATGACGCATCTGTCGACGTTTTCGCCTGACGCCCTTGAGTGCCCCATTGATGCCAGCTGGCGAACACAGGGAGTCAACCCGCTTGTGGAGTACGGCGGGCAGTTGAGCCAGTGATAGCCAGCGTGCGACTGCTTAGATGAAAAAGATCAGAGTCCAGACAGAAGGATGTACCAGCTAAACCCGGCCCGACGTTTTCCCTTTGATTAGCACCCTGTTTGCATCCGATCCAATATTGTCCGGCAGGACAAGTCGTGAACCGCATGTTTAATCGAGCTAGAAATTACTTACTCTAGTGCATTAATCACCTTCGATTACCCCGGAAACCAACTTTCAGCGAAAATGAAAAGCTACCGATTCGTAATTTGTCACCATGGGGGTTGATATATCCTGAAACTCTGCCCAAAGGAATATCATCCAAAATCAAGGCATTTCAATTTTCTTCATGCATCGTCAATGACTTAGAGTGGATGTTTCACATTTGAAGATTCTGAAGCAAGCGTCAACTATGATAAACAAGCTTACATATAGCCATCGATATGCTTTTTAAGTTGAAAACTGCTTTAGACAGCACGATTTTCTGTTTAATAAACGTGCTCCTTAGTGCGTCATGGTTTAATAACGTCATCGTACCTTGCACAATATTGATTGAGAGCCAGTTGACGGCCATCATGTTTGGGAATCGTGCTCACAAACACCTAAAATGAACGCATCGGCAATTTTTTTTTCTTAGCCTTGATCATCGCATGACATATGGAACAGCATAATTTGAATGGCTTTGTTAAGTCGTCATGAATGTCAAGGTGGATTTGAAATAGTCTCCCCAAAAAAGTCTACCCATCTTTGCGGGCGTGTAGCTCAGAAATTAGATGGGTTTAGATGTTGAGAACAAAGCTGAGAACTGCGCCGAATGACCATCAAGATGGTTGTTTCAGTCAAAAACTCCAT